ACTGTATTTAGAGATAGGGCCTTTAAGGAGGTAAGTAAGAAGGTTAAAAGGGTAGGAGGGCCCTAATCCCAGAGGACTGGTGTCGTTATAATCACTGTAAGTAATTATATTATACTCTACTCATATAAGGCATCTCTAAGAGCTGATTTAAATGCTTCTCCCCAATATAAGGAAGAGACATCAGAGCGCATGCTCTCTCTCTCCTTTTCTCTGTCTCTGTGTGTGCGCAGAGAAAGGGTCATGGGAGAACACAGTGGGAAGGGAGCTGTGTGCAAGCCAGGAAGAGAGACCTCACCAGACACCAAATATTGCAGCACCTTGACCTTGAACATCTAGCATCCAAAGCTATGAAAAAATAAATTTCTGTTGTTTAAACCACCCAGTCTGTGACATTTTATCATGGCAGTCCTACCAGACTAATACATTACTGAGCCTATAATATTCAGCATATAATTTCTAGTTAATAGGTACTTGCTTGTTTCTTATTGACTATAACTCATACACTATGGGGAAGAATTTGGCTTTATAATTATCTTCTTGTCATATAAAGCATCTCCAAAGGCTAATTTTAATGCTTCTCCCTAACATCTCTCCCTAAACAGACAGACAGGCAGACAGACAGACAGACAGACAGACACACACACACACACACACACACACACACACACACACACAGCTAGGCATTAACTATTTTGAGTTCATAGAATGGCCAGTAATTTTCTTTTCGTAATCAGGGAAGTTGCCTAATTTCACACCTTTGATAGGCGATATTAAAGAACAGATATATTTCTCGAGATTCCTATTCCTTGGAAGTTTTGTGCCATCCTATGTTATTATTTCCTCTTATGTCCATTTTGATCTCTGACTTCATAACTCTTTGCTCAGTTGCTTGTCCTTGGGGCAGTGGTTCCAGCACCTGCCCACACAGGCCGATGTGGAGAAAGGAGAAGAGGGTCTTTAAAGCAACGTTTATTTACTTTACTCAAGCATTAAAACACTTTTAGAAAATATACACTGTTTAATCACTGTTCTGGAAGCTATAAATATAAGGGTGAAAAAACAGACTATATCCCTACTTTAACAGTTACCTGGTGGTAAAAGAGAAGCATGCCATATACACATGAACAAAAACATAATCAAGATGGTTTTAGATAGTGATACATTCTCTAGAACTTTAAGACCAGCCCACTCCCACCTCCCAGAAACTAGTAGAAGCCACCAGGTTATATATCATATATTCTGAGGGGACCCAATAGTCCAGTAAGTTGCTCCTAGGATCTTGCACTTGGCTGACACATACAGTTTTTCAACTGTAATACTTTATCCTTTTGGTTAAATACATAACTCATTTATTTAAGTGGCAAGTGACTGGAATGCTACTTTGAGCAAGCTCACAAAGAGGAAATGTCAACTCATACAATCTAGAGGAGAGATCTTAAAATAAGGACCATTTCTTTAAGAAAGGAGGTGCGTGCTCTTGAACATAAACTTCTCTGAGCAGCATCTAGGTAGATACAGCTACATGATGATTCTCATCTTAAAACATCATTTAAAAATTACATTTGCTACACCTTTGAAAAGTGAGATTCTAGGGTCATATGGCATAGTAGTCCATTTCTGTTGCTTTTAACAAAATACCCGGAACTGGGTAATTTGTAAAAAAAATGAAATTTATTGCTTGCAGTTTCAGAGGCTGGGAAGTCCGAAGTCCAGTGAACACATCTGGTGAGGGTCTTCTTTGGTGGTGGCTTCAGTGATGCAGGTACCACATTGCAAGATGGTGGAAGCAGGGAGAGAGCTAACTCCTTACTCCTTCTCATTTTAAAGCCCTCAGAACCATGCCCATGACCACCATTAAACCATCAGTTGAATTAATCCATTTACTAGGGCATGGTCCTTACAATCTAATCACCTCTTCACAGCCTCATCTTTCAATTATCATAGTAGGATTTCCTACCCTAAACAGTTACAGTGGGGATTAATCTTCAATGAGTTTGGGGGGAATTCAACCCACTGCTATGGGAATAGCAATACATATCTCACAGGCAGAATACAAGTATAATAAATGAAAACATAATTTCAAGATACTTTTTCCCTGCACTAAGGATATATATTCCTCTATTGGTCATTCTTTGTGAAACATAAGTAAAAATTTGAACTGCTTTTGATTATACTTGGTAGATTGGATCTCTTTGAATGCGACTCCATGGTTGGGTGGAATTACATGGAGACCTAGCTTCTATTAGGGTTATATATGACTTTTAACCATTCTGTGTTACTCTTTAAAACAGGTTCTGGACATGTGGAGCCCTTTAAATTCAAAGTTTGTGGAAGGTTACATTCTTATACATGATGTTTGAAAGACAAAAGTAACAGAATTTCCTAATTAACCACAGGTCAGTTATATGCCAGAAATACAAATCATATGCTGTAAAATTAAATATTTCCATTACTTTTCACTGGATTCATTAAAACAGATACTAAAAATTATCGAAGTTTTTCTTAAAATAATTTTTTCTTAAAATTAAATTTTTTTTCTTAAAATAAACATTTGTGCCTATTCCCAAGGAAAGAAATAAACAGGATTAGCACTTGCGTGTCAGTAACAGATGGCAGTCCACATGCTAACCGCAGAGTCATGGGGGTATAGAATGCATGGGGGTGAGAGTCTGAAGACCTAATCTAATCTGAGATGTGTAGAGGATTCTTAAAGCAAATGTACTTCACAGGGCCTGGTTTTCCAAAGCCTTGCATCTTCAAATATTGACCTCGTGGAGGACTGGAAATTTTCCTCAGGCCATAAAGTCTCTGGTGTAAGATAAAGATGTGTGGCACAGCAAGGTTGCTGGCTCAAGGACAGACTAGTCACTGATTGTTATGTAAAGATACTGAGAAATTGCTGTGACAAGGAAGGTTTGCTAAGATCAAGCTTTTGTTGATAGGACCACTTAATTGCCTTACTGGAATGTCATCTGGCTTGTTTCACTGAAAGTTACCAGCCTATACTGTTAAACTATAGCCCCACCTATGTTCTCTTCCTGTAACTTCCTGGTCTGGAAAATAAATGCAGGAAGAGAACCCCAATTCAGGGTTAATTTCCCAAGAAAGGGATGCTTCTTGCTTGAGGGTTCTGGGGGAGATTAACCACTTTGGGGTCTCTCACTGCTCAGAAGAGATGGGCTTTGAGTAATCCTTTGTGGCTGCATCACACAGGGGAAGTGGGGTGACAAATCCATCGGGGGGCAAAGCAACAGAGATGGCAAATTTAGTAGTCAGGCTTGAGTACCAATAATCTGTTCATTGGTACCTCATCGCCTTACCTTTCATGCCTTAGCCTGCTGATCTATTGTTTGGTGAGTATAATGCATATTATCCTGCCCTTATTCTATTACTCAAGAACCATACAAAAAGGAGTGAAAGAATTCAACAATTATAAAAGATTTGAAAAACATGCAGTCTCCAGCATTTGGAAATTTCCCTATTTCCTCACTACTTGCCAAACAGACATTCGAGCACCTCCGAAAAAACCAAATAGTATTATTTTTCCCTCTGAATAAAAGTATCTGGGCAGTTGTCTCATTTCTCTACTTTGCCTGAGTAGAAAAGGTGACTCAGTGACAACCATCTGTGTGACGTGTCTGGGAAAACTACACAGGGGAAGCAAGCACACCTGTTATGGAAACATTTGTGGCTATTCCCAAGGAAAGAAATAAGCAGGACTAGCACTTATGTGTCAGTAACAGATGGTGCTCCAGCCCTTAACCACAGAGTCAAGCCTCTTCTATTCCCTGATCCTGTTGGCATTGTAGGCTATGGCATTCCTGCAGGAAAGTGTACTGTACACCACAGTGGTTAGAGCTATGTACTGGGATTTAACAAGTAAATCTCTGGAATAACCAACTTCACTCACCACATGCCCTAATACTCCCTATGAATCTGATGTGCTGTTCTAACTGCTTTCCTGAAGGGTCTGCAGATTACATGGTGTATTAGTCTGCTTGGGCTGCCATGACAAAATACCATGGACTGGGTGGCTTAAGCAACAGAAATTTATTTTCTCACAGTTCTGGAGTCTAGAAGTCCAAGATCAGGGTGTTGGTGTGGTTGGATTCTAGTGACTCCCAGATTGCTGTCTTTTCATTGTGTCCTCACATCACACACAATCATGCACATACACACACAGGCACCCACAGATCTCTCTCTCTCTCTCTCTCCTCCTCTTCTTATAAAGCCATTGATCCTGATCCTATTGGATTAGGGCCCTACCCTAATGACCTCATTTAACCTTAATTAGCTCCTAAAAGCCCTATCTCCAAAACAATCATGTTGGGGCCGGCCCGGTGGCGCAATGGATAGTGCGCCGCTTGGGAAGCTCGGCGGCACTCCCGCCCGAGGGTTCGGATCCCACATACAGACCGGTTCCCGCTCACTGGCTGAGCGAGGCGCGGGAGCAACACCGAGGGTTGCAATCCCGTTGCCGGTCCCCGGCCCGGTACGGGGGCAACACTGAGGGTTGCGATCCGTTGCCGGACACGGAAAAAGACAAAAAGACAAAAAAAAAAAAAAAAAAAAAAAAAAAAAAAATCATGTTGGGGGGGGGG